ACGACGCGGGCCTTTCTGCGTTCCAGCTCCCCGTTGGCCTTGTACTTATTTCTTAGCACGGTGCGGCAGCCGATTACTCTCACGTCGTCTGGTCGATCGACAAGTGTCCAGGTGTCGTTCATTACTAAGGATTTTATCTCATCGAGTATTGCGTCATGCCACTCGTCCTTGTTTGAACCTGAAACAGCCTGAGAAAAAGGGATTTCAGAAGCGGACATGGCGAACTGAGCATCGAACCATTCGGACCCCGAGGAGTTGTCGTCCACTGGAATGCGGTCTCCTGTCGCGACCGTGGCGCTGTCTGCACTCTGTTGTTGCGTGGACTTCCTGGTCTGGAACAGCTTGGCCGGGCGACCGGGCCTTCCCGTAAGAATTTTCCGCGGTCGTCCTGGTGCGCGCACTGCCGGTTGGCTTTCCGAGATCGGTTGATCTTGGTCCGGTTCGTTAGCTTCATTGTTGATGGAATCGTCTCCCGAATCGTCTGATTCATGTTCGGATTGATTGCTTCCGACCTCCGCGAATCGTCTCTCGTCTGGTCCGACGGTCGCTTCGTCTGCGAAGTCCTCTTGAGGATTGTTCCGGCCGGATTCTTCCAGGAATTTAACATCCCTTGCGACGACAACCTTTCGATCCTTCGGGATCCAAATACGGTAGCCACGGGAGGTGTCGGCGTAGCCCACGAATATGCCTTCGATGGCTCTGGATTCGAACTTGCCCTTGTTTGGCCTCTTGTCCAAGACGAGTACCTTGCATCCAAATGATCTGAGATGACTTACATCGGGCTTTCTTTTGTTCCACAGTTCGTAGGGCGTACGTTCGTCTAATGACTTGGAGATGCAGCGATTTCGTATATGATTTGCCGTATTGATGGCTTCGGCCCAAAAGGAGGAGGGGAGGCCGGATTGTGCCATCAAGCAGCGAGCCATTTCAACCAGGGTGCGGTTCTTTCTTTCGGCGACCCCGTTCTGCTGCGGCGTGTGAGGGATGGTCAATCGCCGTTGAATGCCTGATTCCTTTAATATGCGTTCCATGGTGGAATTACAAAACTCCTTTCCATTGTCGGAATGAAGAGATTTTATTTTCAATCCAGTCTGATTCTCGACAAGATTTTTATATTCAATGAATTTCTTCGGCGCTTCATCCTTACTTTTCAGGAAATAAACGTGGCACCATCTAGAATGATCGTCGATTAGTGTCATGAAATAACGTGCGCCTCCGATCGAGTTAATGCGCATTGGTCCGCATAGATCAGTGTATACGATATTCAGGGGTTGTCGAGACCTATCATTACGAGGAGTGAACGGTAAGCTACATAATTTTTGAGTTATGCATACCTGGCAGTCGGATACCTTTTGGTTCTCCTCTAATTTAAGCCCTGATACTACCTGCGTTTTGGACATGCGCAACAGATCATTCGAGTTGAGGTGTCCGAATCGTTCGTGCCAGATCTCAGTCTTCGAGTGTTTTCCGGACGCGGCCACATTTGCTTGTTGAACGGGTCCGCTCAGCAGGAATAAGTCACCCTGACGTTTGGCGACGAGCTTTATGTTTCCTTGAGAATCCTGGACGATAGCTCGATTCGAGTCAAATACCACGCGATTGCCCTTGTCTACTATCTTGGCCACTGATAACAAATTGATTCTCAGATCTGGGACGTGCAAGGCGCCCTCCAACCTAACCTTCTTGTTCTGTCCGTTTATGCTCGTTAGCAGTTCAACGTCTCCTTTAGCACTTATTGTGCTCGTTGCATTGTTTGCTAGCTTGATGTCACTATGCATTCGGGCCGGCTCTGTCATCATCGCGGCGTCCTTGCATAGATGCGATGTGCATCCACTGTCCAGGCACCACAGGTTAGCGCTTGCGTGTTTAGGAGAGTAAACTGAAGAATAATGCGCGTCTTCCGTAAAGAAGCTCTCGACTTCGGTGGCGTTGGCCTTTTCGTTCTCTTGCTTCTTACGTTTTCGACAGTCCGCGTATTTGTGTCCGACGATTTTGCAGAAGGAGCACTTGTATTTCGGACGCGACGGCGTCTTTCCGTCGGTTTCGTCGCGCGATGCGGATGCGGATGCATTCTTTCGCGGTTTGAAATTGGCGTTGTGTTTTCCGCGCTGAGCGAGCATGGCTCCCGATTCGTTTGTTGTCGTTTGATTTCGCGCCTCGTGTTCTTCGATAATTTTAATTTTTAGTAGCTCGGCGGTCGGTAACGCGTCGCGAGACTCGATTGCGCATCGAAAATTTTCGTAACTGCTCGGCAGGCTATATAGGAGCATAATGGAAAGTAAGTCTCCATTTATCGCGACGTCCATGGACTCTAGTTTATCGACTGCGTCGAAAAAATCGGCAAGATGTCCCTTCGCGTCAGCGCCTTCCGACATCTTTGTCTGAATGAGGCGTTTGAGCAAAGTCGCTTTACGCGCGGGACCTTTCGAGTCGTATATGGATTTTAGCTTGTCCCAAACCTCCTTCGATGTCACGCAACCACGTACCTGTTTTAGTTCCGTGGGGCTAATCGCTAGAATGAGGTCAGATTTGGCCTTTCGATCCTGAGTGTCCCACACCGCGATCTCGGCTGCATTCGTGGGGCGTGGTTTCTCACCGCTTACGAAGCACCATGTGTCATTTTTGACGAGTAACGCTTCCACTTGTATTACCCACGTATCATAATTGTCCTTAGTTAGCGTTTCGAGTCGCGTAGAGTTTATTGTATTCGTGTGAGTCATCTTTTCGAATCGATGTATGCGAGAGAAAAGGAACGCGCGCGAACGTGCAATGGACGGTCGTTGTGAATTCTCGCGTTGTCGCGGGCTTCTGGGCCCATAACCTGTTGCGATTGGATAGGAAGCACGACCGAGTGATCACACAGATGTTAATCTTAATGCGAACTCTAATTTATTCACAAGAATATGTCACAACTTATGCATAGTAAAATGTCCGATAGCTGAACGAGAGAACACGTGCGGTAACGATAGCGTGGATACAAGAAGTGTACAACGGTCACGGAAGGTGAAGCAAGTGAAGAGCGCACGCTCGAGAGCAGTGCGGGCAACACAATATCGAATCGACAACGCGTGATGATCGATCGATATATATATAGGGACTTCTCGTAACGGACGGGAATTTGCGATATCTCCAACAAAAGACATAATTGAATATTTTAAGTTATGCGAATAAATAAGTTTTGATCATATTTAATGAGTAAAATATAACATGCATACAGCATAGGAACTAAACACCTGAAATAATCTAATAATACTTAAAAGAATCTATGAAATTCGAACGTTCTAAACTTCGTAATATCTTATTAAGATGATTCAAATACTTGCAAGCAAAGATGGTCAGTATCGATTTAGTTCCACCAATTATATCAGTTTCTTAACTTGTCTGTGGCCAAATAATTAAAATATACGTTTTTAATATGTAATTGATGGAAATCAATTACATTTTAATTATAAAATATACAATAATTAACATAATATAATCAAAATTATTTTCGTTTGAATTAAAAATGTTAATGTTAATAGATTGGTGATAAATTATTAGGTGTACAAATAAGTTTTAAAGCGTTTTTTGTGTATAATTTAAACTTCGAATTCAAATATTATCGCTGTCTTTTGATATATGGTGGTTCTTAAGGGGATGCTAAAGTTGTCCTGTTTTACCACGATTCCATTTGAAAAGAATTATCCGAATTGGCTTTACGGATTGCAAAATCCTTTCACAGAGTAAAAGTACGCACGAAAAACTATCCTGGGAAACCTAATTTCACTAGAAAATCGGAAAAAAATTAAAAAATTCACTTTATTCTGACACGTACAGCTGTCACTTGAGGTTAAGATTCACTTAATATAAAAGTTTTAGAGATCGCAGATTGCAAATAAGCGTTTTGCAGGATTGAGATGACTTGTACGAACAATTCTGAGTTTGCAGATCCCAGATTAAATGCGTAGAAAAAGATATTTCTTTTCAAAACGAAATCACGATCTATGCGAGGATTCGGAACGTCAACAGAGTTTGATAGAGCCGAAATTGCGTTTAGAAGTAGTTCCGCCGTCTTGAAAGAGATGGCGTTGTAGAGCATCGGTAAAAACAGGTACTGAACGTGATCGTACTTTATCAGAAAAAGTGAATTTTTTAATTTTTTTCCGATTTTCTAGTGAAATTAGATTTCCCAGGATAGTTTTTCGTGCGTACTTTTACTCTGTGAAAGGATTTTGCAATCCGTAAAGCCAATTCGGATATTTCTTTTCAAATGGAATCGCGATAGAACAGGACCAGGATTGAGCTCGAACACGATCGAGAGAGAGAGAGAGGGGGACTATATTATAGAGCACATAATAATTGCTACATATAGCACGAAAATACCGGAATTTTATTTTTGTATGCGGAAATTGTTTGTACGCGCTGAAGATCGTAGCTGGAAAAATACGTACGAAGATATTATTATAGATTTGTTCGCGTTGCATACTCCAACATGCATCTACTATAGTTATTACTCATTCAACGAGCGCATTGAAGAAAGTAGTAGCTACGATAGGAGCATGTTAGAGCATGCGACGCGAACAAATCTCAAATAGTACCAAATACGCGTATTCCAAGTAATCCACTCATTTTACTTCATAAAACAATTTCAAGAAGGGCAAATAACGTGTTATTCATTTTTTTAAATTAAAATCTTTTATATTATAAAAACATTTTATAATCCAGTATTACAACCAAAAAAAAAAAATATTATAAAGTTACATTTATAATTTTATACTGGGTGCTTTCCATTTGATGACACAAGTCGACACAAGTGTCGTTCTATCTTCGTCAATCTCTAAATGTCAAGAAAAATAGAACGACACTTGTGTCAACTTGTGTCATCAAATGGAAAGGACCCATTATATACTATATTATAAAAACTATCATTTGTATTAGAGAAACATATAAAAACTATCATTTATATTATAAAAACATTATGAAAACTATCGTTTATATTATAAAAACATTTTTGAACAAAATTATAATGTTGGCGGCGCGGAAATATATCCTAGTGCAGGCGGCGCGGGTGTATATCCTGGTACAGACGGCGCGGATGTATATCCTGGAGCAGACGACGCGGGTGTATATCCTGGAGCAGGCGACGCGGGTGTATGTCCTGGTGCAGGCGGCGCGGATGTATATCCTGGTACAGGCGCCGGTAGTATATATCCTGGTGCAGGTGGCGCGGGTGTATGTCCTGGTACAGGCGCCGCTAGTGTATATCCTGATACAGGCGGCGCAGGTGTATATCCTGGTGCAGGCGGTGCGGGAGTATATCCTGCACAATTGAAAAATTTATGTTACATACATTTTGCGTATTCCAAATAGTCCACTCATTATACGTCATAAGACAATTCGCGAAACAAAATTTTAACAAGACTTGAGTGGACCGTTTCCAAAACAAATATAAAATGTTTTTTACCGTATAATGCAGGCGGCGCGGGTGTATATCCCGGCACAAGCGGTGTGAGTGTATATCCTGGTGCAGGTGGCGCGGATATATACCCTAGTGCAGGCGGCGCGGGTGTATATCCTGGTGCAGGCGGCACGGGCGTATATCTTGATGCGTTTGGCCAATCTTTTTTTGTTTTCTGGATTGCTCGCCGCAACATATTCTTGAATTGCTATAATTATAAACAAATAAAAGTGTGTAATACAAAGTTTTCCATACTTTACCAAAGTTTTACTAAAAAGTAAAATGTTAAAATTAATTCAAAGCCGCATAGTGAACTTTCTGAGACATGCACAAATATTAAAATTAACACAAAATTATTTTTAACATTTTTGCATGCTTAGAAAGTCTACTATACGGCTTTGACTTACAAGGGGACCCCCAGGGGAGGTGTTTTTAAAAAAAATTAATACTTCGCCAAAATGTTGTACATGGCACACCATTATGTGTGGCAAAGCAGCACGATGCACTTCTCAAGCGTTTTTGAGAAAAACGCGTTAGAAATTTTCCGTATAATGCACTCTCAATGGTAGCGCGCTAGG